CTCCTCCCTCCTCCCGATCGAGGGGGAGCGGCGGCGCAGACAGGGGGGGCGGGGGAGGGGCAGCCCCCCCCCCTCCCCCGCCACCGGTTCTACGGCCCACTCGCACGGGCCGAGCCCGGGGTGCGCAGGCCAGCGGCGGGCCCAGGCTGGGATCGGACAGCAGGAGGACACCAACAGCACACCCAGAAACACCCCATCCTGGACGGGCCCCGTCCTTCGGCTACACGCAGGAGTGACCCTGGACAGGAGTGACTTCTGGTGCGCGACGTATCGGGGGTCGCGGGGGGGGCCAAACCTGGGCGCGCCAGCAGCTGCTGCTGCCCCGTTTTCAGCCATCCGGGGAACCACCTGTGCCCGCACCAAAGGTCACTCCGGCGAAAGGTCACTCTTACTTGGGCGCCCGAGTTATCCGGGGTAACTCGGGTCCGGGGTAACTCGGGTTCGGATTCCCGAAAAAGGAACCCGAGTTACCCCTGACCCGAGTTACCCCTGATGATTCGGGGCTCTGGACGCCCGAGTTATCCGGGGTAACTCGGGTCTGGGGTAACTCGGGTTCGGATTCCCGAAAAAGGAACCCGAGTTATCCCTGACCCGAGTTACCCCTGATGATTCGGGGCTCTGACTTACGTCCAGTCGAGTCCTGGGCCCGGCATCGATGCACAGAGCCCCCGGGGGGGCCCGGCATCGGCCCGGCCAGGATCGCTGTGCGGGTGCAGAGCTCGGCAGCGCGCCCCGGGGGGGCAAAAGGAGAGGGGGCAGGCCTGCTCGCAGGGCGGGGCGGGGGCTTCTCGGAGGCCCTGGGGCGCCACCTGGGAAGCTCCCTGTGCCTCCCGAGGCTTCCTGTGACCTCCTGGGCCCTCCTGGCATCTCCTGGGGCCTCCTGGAGCTCCCTGGGGCCTCCTGGGGCCTCCAGGTGTTTTTTTTAGGGGCCTTTCCCGAGCACGAGCAAGCCGTTTCGGGAGGCTTCTCGGACGGCCCGAGGCCTCCCGAGCCACCCGAGAAGGCCCGCCCCCTCTGCGTTCCTTATGTTACATCCTCGGGGGACCTTGTCTGTCCCGTAGGGGCCCCGTCCGCGTCGAATCAATGTCGAATCCACGTCGGCCTCGTCGGGTCCGTGTCGAATCCGTGTCGAATCCGCGTCGAACCCACGCCAAATCCGCGTCGGAGCCGCATCGAGCCCGCGTCGGACACAAGAAAAGACACCCATTGGGGTGACAGGCGAGGTCCCCCGAAGATGCAACGCAACTTTCCCCCCTGGGCTCGCTCCATGCTACACGCAAGAGGCCGGGGGGCACTCTGGTGGATCGATCGTGGACTTCGCGGGATGCCCCAGAGCTCCCAACTGCTACCCAGAGCCGTCGGGGACCCATGCATTTGTTCTGGAGCGGCTGCTGCCAAACAAATGTCTTGTTCAGCGTGCCTTACTGCACGCGAAGGTGCCCCACTCTAGCGAGCCCAGTCGGCCACCTCCCGTGAGCAGCCGGGAACAGCCAAAGAGACCAAGCGAATGGATTGGCCAAGAACTCCTGCATTGAAGGAGCCACATGACTCGATGCGTCCTAGCACCACGTGACAGCCTTCGACAACCCCGTGACGATATTCGACGCTCGGGCCCCAGATGTATGTACTGGCCGATCCTTCGATGACTTCGACAAGGAGACGGCAGATACAATCGCGCGCGGGTATCGGAGCGCAGCACGTAACACTACGCCCGAAGCGTGGGAGTCACGGGTCATGCCTCCCTGCTACGAGAGATCCATGGTCTCTGCGATACCAGAGGCTGCAGACGGGAAGCCTCAGGGCGCAGCGGCCGAGGATGCAACAGCCCAGGGGAGGGCTG